CAGGTCTTTCCATGGCGCCTTGCATCATCATCCTGTACAGTTAAGGAGGCCCAGCCTCAGAAGAGGGAGGCTTCCCCCAGGTCACACAGCAAGAATCAGCTAAGAGAGATTCTAAGCTGGAAGGGCCCCTTGCAGCCCTCTGTTCTAATCTCCCCCTGCAGTGTTGCACTCCCGCGCCAATGCCACCAGGTGGGGATTTCCCCCAAGTGGCTTCTTTGACAGGAGCTCACTGCCTTCTGAGGCAGCACGTTCCAGTGCTGGACAGACTGACACTGCTTCCAGTGTCAGGAAGCCTGTCTTCAGTTTTTCTTAAGTTTTATTTTATTTCTAATGGACAAACAATAAGTGCCTGTACTTACGGAGTACAGTGTGGTGTTTCCACACATGTATACATCGTGGAATGGTCAGGTGGTGCCCGTAGCTCAGTGAGTAGAGCGCTGGCCACATACACCAAGGCTGGTGGGTTGGAGCCCGGCCCAGGCCAGCTAAACAACAATGACAACTGCAGCCAAAAAATAGCTGGGCATTGTAGTGGGCTCCTGTGGTCCCAGCTGCTTGGGAGGCTGAGGCAGGAGAATCGCTTAAGTCTGAGAGTTTGAGGTTCCTGTGAGCTGTGATGCCACAGCACTCTACCGAGGGTGACATAATGAGACTCTGCCTCAAAAAAATAAAAAACAAACCACTGTGGAATGGTCAAATCAGACTAATTGGCATACCCATCTCAAATATTTATCATTTATTTGTGGTGAAAACATTTAAAATCCTCTCTTTTAGCTATTTAGAAATATATATTATTTATCAATTAGCATCACTAGATCACCAGGACTTAATCCTCCCATCTAACTGAAACTTTGTACCCCTTGACCAAAGTCTCCCCTTCGGCTGCCCGTATCCCCTTCTCATTTTGAACACAGTCAATCAGAATATAATTTGCATGGTCCTCAGACCCTACAACTTCCTGTTCTCTCCACTCTGGACTTAACTCGAGGCTCTCCATGTCCAGAACTGGTCACAGTTTGCCATTTCAAAGAGGCAGTCGAGTGTTGACCCTCACAACAACACCATTCCAGCCGCAGTGGCTGCCAGGGCGCATGCGTGCAAACCTGTTTGTTGGGTGAAGGGTGCCGGACCATGGAGGGATGGGCCATCTGCCCTGCGTGCTGGGGCGGGGAGCAGCACCTGGGCCGTGTCAGCCAGCAACTCTGGGGTCCAGGCCTTCTCCAGTTCACTCTCTGAGCTTTTGCTACCCCCTCAGGTGGAACCAAGCCCGGGTGGGAAAGCGGGCGATTACACTCCACCTGTACATCACATAACCGTGCTTTAGTCTTTCTGCCCCCATCTGTGGCCAAAGTTCCAGCCGGGGCAAAGCACAGTCAGTCTCTCCCAAGGTTTCACCTCATTCATTTGTTGAAAATGTATTCATCTATTAGGCGCCTGAACTAGGGGTGGAGAGTGATCAGAATGCAGTGATGAGCAAGAATGGGTCCCTTCCCTTCTCAGCTTCGATGGGGGTGTGCTAGCCCTCTGTAGTAGACGTCCTCACAGGTCAGGGAGAGAGCAGTCCATCCATGAAATACGCTTGGCCAGGGGCTCTTCTCTTGCACCTCTGCACTCACTAGAACTTCTGCACCATCAGACTGGCACGTAACACGTCTCCAAGTGGCTTCAGATGGGCACGTGGCCTCGATTGTGGAGAAATGGTGCCCCCTACCGGCCACCGCTGGTTCTTTCTCTCATTCTTCCATTCCTTCAGTCAGCAAATATTTAGCGAACATCACCATCCATGTTCAGGCACCTTTCTAGGTGGGGGATATAGTGAGAAATAAGGTAGACAAGCTTGTACTCTCATAGAACTGACATCTCTGGGGCTGGGGAGAGAGACAGGAATCAGATGATTGCTATGAGGGAAAGCAGAGAGTGTGATGTAATAGAGAGTGACCAAGGAAAAAGAAAGTCCCTCTGTGGAGGGGACATTTGATGCAGACTTAAATGATGGGAGGGGGCAGCTATGTGCAGATCTAGAAATGCGACTGGCAAAGGCCCTGAGGTGAGGACCTCTTTGAGTGGGTTCAGTAACAGGAATGGGAGCAGTAGGAGCAGAATTGGAGTCCTGTGAGGTGGGGAAGGAGAGGGGAGCGGGGGCTGGATCATGCAGGGCCATGGTGGGGATTTACGTTTTAGAACAGGGACCTGGTGTCTACAGACTACCCCTGGAAGGGTCTGTGGATAGAATTCAGAGGGTCCATGAACTTGAATAAGAAAAAACAATACATCTCAATTTTTACTATCCTTAGAAATGTGGTACTTTCTACTTGTGAATAGAATCAACTGACTCAGCATTAGCAGTACCCATAGAATGCACAGAGATTTTTATATTCTCTTATAGTTGTTGCCGATATTGTTTTCACTCATCATTGCTTTGAAATTAGTCATCAGACCTATTGCTGGATTTTGTCAATGTGCTAATAACCTCATCGATCAACTATATCATGATTTTAAATATGTTTGACGATTATATTTCATTATAATTGACTTCATTTGAATTCATGTATATTTTAGTGTGTTTAGAGATAGTCTTGCTCTGTCACCTAGGCTGGAGTGGGTAACAGAGAGATCTAATCATAGCTCAATGCAACCTGGAACTCCTGGGCTCAAGTGATCTTCCCTCCATGGCCTCCTAAAGTGCTGGGATTACAGGTTTGAGCCATCATTTCCTCCCTTTTTTTGCACAAACATGATACCTACTGTTTGCCTCTTTTTTTTTTTCCTGAGACAGAGTCTCATTATGTCACCCTTGGTAGAGTGCCATGGCATCACAGATCACAGCAACCTCAAACTCTTGGGCTTAGCAAGACTACAGGTACCTGCCACAACACCTGGCTATTTTTGTTGTTGTTGTCGTCACTATTTAGTAGGCCCTGGCCAGGTTTGAACCCGCCATCCCTGGTGTATGTGGCTGGCGCCCTATACACTGAGCTACAGGAGCCGAGCCTGTTTGCCTCTTAAGCTTTGCACCCAACAGGACATTCTGTAGATTGTTCTGTATCTGGACACAAAGGCTGTTCTCATTCTTTTTGATGACCACGTGGTTTTCCACTATAAAGCTTCATCGTAACTCATCCAGCCCACCCCCTACTGCTGCATGTTCAGCTTGTGTCTACTCTTTTGCTAGAACACCACTAGCTGCTGGGTATAGCCTTCTATGGAGATCATTTTGCACAAGTATGAGTATATCCCTAAGATAAATTCCTAGTAGTGGAATGGCTGAATCAAAGGGCATATGAATTTGTAATGCTGATAGGCATTGCCAAATTGCCTTCTTACCAGCAATGCATAAGTGTTTGTTTCCCCACATTCCCCAGCTGTTTTTATCTTTGTTGATCTGATGGGTAAAAATGGTATCTCAGTGCAATTATAGTTGTGTTTGTCTTATTGTGAGTGAATCTGAAAGTATTTTTATTTGGAGCTGTTTGTATTTCCTTTGCTAGGCAGGCACTCTCTAGACCTGCTTGTCGGCCATATTACTGCTGGGTTGTTGTTTTTTTCTTATGAATTTTTTTCTTTTTCTTTTTTGAAACAGAGTCTTATTCTGTGGTAGAGTGCTGTGGCATCATAGCTCACAGTAACCTCAAACTCTTGAGCTCAAATGATCCTCTTGCCTCAGCCTCCCAACTTGCTGGGACCACAGGCACCCAACACAATGCCTGGCTAGGTTTTCTATTTTTATTAGAGACCAGTTCTCACTCTTGCTTAGGCTGGTCTTAAACTCCTGAGCTCAGGTGATCCACCTGCCTTCACCCTCCTGAGTAGCTGGGACTAGTGGTGTGTGCCAATACACCTGGCTAATTTTTGAAAGGTTTTTAGAGATGAAGTCTCACTATGTTACCTGGGCTGATCTGGAACTTCCCAGCTCAAGGGATCCTTCCACGTCAGCCTCCCAAGTAGCTGGGATCACAGGCATTAGCCCCTGCACCTGGCTAGGTGTTGGCTGTTTCAAATGGTCCATGTCACATTCTAGTATACATCTTGTGGTAAAACCATGTACATATTTATGGTGGGCTATACCCAAATTGCTAGGTTAGAAGGCAGTTGTATATTCCATGTACGTACACAGTGCCTTCATTAGTCTGCCAGAGCTGCCATAACAAGGACCATGAACTGGGTAACTTAAACAACAGAAATTGTTTGCCTCACAATTCTGGAAGCTAGAGGTCCAAAATCAAGGTGTTGACAGAGATGGTAGCTTTTAAGGACTGCGAGGGAGAATCTGTTGCAGGCCTCTTTCCTTGGCTTGTAGGGGGCCATCTTTTTTTCCCTGTGTCTCTTCACATTTTCTTCCCTCTATCCATGTCTGCCTCTGTCCAAATTTGTCCTTTTTATAAAGATACCAGTCTTATTGGATTAGAGCCCACCCTGATGACCTTATTTTAACTTGATCATCTGCAAAGATCCTCTCTCCAAATAGGGTCACACTGAGGTTCTAGGGGTTAGGATTCCAACATAGCTTTTTTTTGGAGGGTGAGAGGACAAAATTCATCCCATAACAGTCCCAAAGAGGTTCCCAAAGTAGTTGTACCAATTTAGGGACCCAATATTTGCTGGAGTATTTTAAAGCTAATTCCAGACATGGTATCATTTGCCTTGGGAGTGTTTTAAAAGGAAGAAAGACTTGGTCTGGTTTACATTTTTAAATGAGTCTATTTGCTCTGTCGGAATGTAAGACAAGGCAAATATCTCATCAAGAAAGAAAAAGTAAATAAAGAGTGAGCCCTCCTGGGATGCCCATTTGAGACTCTCTGTTTACCCCACGGTCAAGAGAATCTTCTGGGTGCCCGTAGCTCAGGGATGCCATTCAGACAGAGTTGATCATCCTTCCTTGGCCAGGCCACACTGCCCAAGGGACAGCTTCCTGGTTTCAGCTCCTTAGGGTTCAGGTGATGCAGAGGGAGAAACCCAGCCAGGACTCAGGCCATATCTCTGTCTATCCCTTTCCCTTCCAGGACATACAGCAGCTCCTCCAGCTCCAGCAGCTGGTGCTTGTGCCAGGCCACCACCTCCAGCCACCTGCTCAGTTCCTGCTCCCACAGGCCCAGCAGAGTCAGCCAGGTAAGGCTCCCACCCTGAATGGCCTCCCTGATGCAACCACAGAACGTCCCTCACTTTCCCCTTGCCCATTCACCTCATGTGTTCCCCCTTTGTCTCCCCAGGCCTGCTACCGACACCAAATCTATTCCAGCTACCTCAGCAAACCCAGGGAGCTCTTCTGACCTCCCAGCCCCGGGCCGGGCTTCCCACACAGGTGAGATTGTCCACTGAGTGTGTCAGGCTAGGCTTCATGACAGGGACAGGTAGAGGGGTAAGAGTCTGAGAGTCGCCTTTCCATATGGCTCACCCTATAGCCATAGGGTCTAAGACAGGAGTTGGGGAATCTGAGGCCTAGCTCCACTCTGCCAGTGATTTGTTGTGGCACCTTAGGCAAGGTACTCTCCCTTCCTGGGTCAGCCCCTTCCTCTGTAGCATGAGAGAAGTTGAACCAAGATTAAAGTCTCTTAACCCTTTCAGGCACATGGACTCCTCTGAGAATCCGATGAAAGATTTAGATCCCCCCAAATGCACATGTACACAAACACACAAAATTTCAGAGGGTTATAAACCTCCAGGTTATGAATGCCTTGGGTCTCTTCTAGTACTGCAACTGGAGGGTTCTCAGAGCAAGGCGTCTGTTAGGTATTTCTGTCTGTTTCCTACACCAAAACCCAAAAGCAGTGCCCCCAAATGCATTTTATTCAGCTGTCAACTAAATTCCCAGAAAAGATTTCCAGGTTATCCTGACAAAGCAGAAGATCCAGAAAGACCAAACCTGTGTCCATGTGGTGGTTTGGTGGTAGTAGCAGCTAGCTTGGCCACTGGCAGGAAGGGCCCTGATAGGCAAGGTGCCAGCTCTTCAGGCCACCTCAGCACCTGGAGCCCAAGACTTTCTTCAGTTTCCTGGTTGGGTTCTAGACTTTAATAATAATCTTTCAATATCCTTTACAAATGTCAAACCTTTTTCCTACTCATTCTTGTTTATATCCCTTTCAAAAAATATATGAACTGGTTGGGCACCTGTAACTCAGTGGTTAGGCTGCTGGCTACATGCTCTGGGGCTGGTGTGTTCGATCCCAGCCCAGGCCTGCTAAACAAACAACAAAAAATAGCCGGGCATCATGGTGGGCACCTGTAGTCCCAGCTACTAGGGAGGCTGAGGCAACAGAATTGCTTGAACCCAAGAGTTTGAGGATGCTGGGCGGCGCCTATGGCTCAAGGAGCCATATACCAGAGGTGGTAGGTTCAAACCTGACCCCGGCCAAAAACTGGGAAAAAAAAAAAAAAAAGGGCAGTGTCCCTGGCTTCGTGAGTACGGCACCGGCCCCATATACCGAGGGTGGCGGGTTTGAACCCGGCCCTGGCCAAACTGCAACAACAACAACAACAAAAAAGAGCCGGGCATTGTGGTGGGCGCCTGTACTCCCACTACTCGGGAGGTGAGGCAAGAGAATCGCCTGAGCCCAAAAGCAGGAGGTTGCTGTGAGCTGTGATGCCACAGCACTCTAAACAAAAAAAAAAAGAGTTTGAGGTTGTTGTGAGCTATGACATCACAGCACTCTACTGAGGGTGACAAAGGAAGACTCTGTCTCAATAAAAAAAAAAAATTATTTCATAAAGACCAAAAGTTTGGAAACTAATACAGGTCTTAGCTTCAGTTCTGAAATCCAAAACGCTCTGAAATCCAAGTTGTTCTTATATTGTTCACATAAGAACTCATTTGGCTGCAAAACCTGCCCAGCTCTGAAGCAGTACACTTTTCTTTATCCCTCTTGGTGCAGCATTCCTGCTGCTGCAGAGCCATTACTGTGTCTGATTATAGGATAATGCCTTGACCCTGATGGAGTGTGGTGGGTCACATTATCTATGATATATGCCTTATGTAAGCTTTTTTTTTTTTTAGAGACAGAGTTTCATTTTGTCACCCTCGGTAGAGTGCCATGGTGTCACAGCTCACAGCAACCTCCAGCTCTTGGGCATAGGCGATTTTCTTGCCTCAGACTCCCAAGTAGCTGGGACTACAGGCACCTGCCACAATGCCTGGCTATTTGTTGTTGTAATTTGGCTGGGGCTTGGTTTGAACCTGCCACCTTCAGTATATGGGGCCAGCGCCCTACTCACTGAGCCACAGGTGCCGCCCCCATGTAGGCTTTTTAAAAACCGGAACACTTCTGAATTCTAAAACATATCTGGCCCTTGTGTTCTGGATAACAGATCAAGGACCTGGGTGACAAACATCCCTGCATCTATCACATACTTCAAATCTTTTTTTGGGGGGGGGGGTTATGAGTTACTAATATGGTGCTGCCCCTGGAAATTATGTGCCTGGGGAGAGGGGCTGCTTGTGGAAAAGTTGCTGATCACGCCAGAAACATTCATTTAAGAGTGTCAAAGAGCATGTGATAGGGCAGTGGGCTTGTCTGGAGAAAGAGAAGGGTCAGGAAAGGTTTCCAGAGACAGGGGCATACTTCAAATCTTTTATTTTTAGGGAAAGGAATTATTCTAGATAGAGCAGTTGCTTTTCTGTAAATCCCTCTAATATTTCTCCCTGTCCTTTTTTTTTTCTTTTACTTTATCTGCAATCTACTCATTTTTTAAAGACTTAATTTTTTTTTTTTTTTTTTTTTTTGAGACAAAGTCTCACTCTGTTACCCTGGGTAGAGTACCATGCATCATATCTCACAGCAACCTCTAAATCTTGGGCTGGAACAATCTTCTTGCTTCAGCCTCGCAAAGTATCTAGGACTACAGGTGCCCACCACAACACCTGGCTAGTTTTTCTTTCTTTCTTTCTTTCTTTTTTTTTTTTTTAAGACACAGAGTCTCACTTTGTCACCCTCAGTACAGTGCTGTGGCGTCATAGCTCACAGCAACCTCCAGCTCTTGGGCTTAGGCGATTCTTTTGCCTCAGCCTCCCAAGTAGCTGGGATCACAGGCACCCACCACAACGCCTGGCAATTTTTGTTGTAGTTTGCCCGGGGCCAGGTTTGAGCCTGCTACCCTTGGTATATGGGGCCTAACAGGCCCTACTCACTGAGCCATAGGCGCTGCCTGCCTGGCCAGTTTTTCTGGTTTTTTAGTAGAGATGGGGTCTCACTCTTGCTCAGGCTAGTCTCCAACACCTGAGCTCAAGTAATCCACCCACTTTGACCTCCCAGAGTGCTAAGATTACAGGTGTGAGCCACCATACCCAGCATAAGACTTAATTTTTTTTTTTTTTGAGACAGAGTCTCACTTTGTCACCCTCAGTAGAGTGTCATGGTGTTACAACACCCGGCTATTTTTTTGTTGTTGTTGTTGCAATTTGGCCAGGCCCAGGTTTAAACCCGCCACCCTCAGTATATAGGGCCAGCACCCTACTCACTGAGCCACAGGCACTGCCCAAGACATAATTTTTTAAGAATAGTTTTAAATTCACAGCAAATCTGATAAAGAGATGTCCCCTACCTTCTGCTTCCACTCATGCACAGCCTCCCCCATTATCAACATCTCCAACCAGAGTGGTACATGTGTAACAACCAATGAACCTACAGTGACACCTCATTATCCCCCAAAGTTCCTAGTTTACATTAAAGCTTACTCTTGGTGGTGTACCTTTTAAGGTCATGGGTTTGGACAACCTATTCATTTGTTAACCCTATTCTCTCAATGGCCCCATTGGGTAGGTAGAGCACAGTGATTGTTTCCATCCTGCAGAGGGGGAAATTAAGGCCTGGGAAAGTTAAGAAGCTTACCTGAGCTACCCAGCAATTCTGTGGCAAGAGCCAGTCCTTGACTCCCTGATCCGAGAGGAGAATAAAACCACCACCCCCAGCTCCCTTGAGAGAAAGACAGCCCTTGGCGAAAGAAGGTGGCTGCTTGGCTCACGCCTGTAATCCTAGCACTCTGGGAAGCCGAGGCCGGTGGATTGCTTGAGCTCACGAGTTTGAGACCAGCCTGAGTAAAAAGCGAGACCCCCGTCTCTACTAAAATAGAAAAACTAAGGCAAGAGGATCACTTGAGCCCAGGAGTTGAAGGTTGCTATGAGCTCTGACGCCATGACACTCTACCCAGGGCGACAGCTTGAGACTCTGTCTCAAACAAAAAAAAAAGGTGGCTGCTCCTGGGAGTTCGCAGGCTTGAAGGGACAGTGCAAAGAGTTCCAGGGAATGAGAGGACCCATGTAGGACAGTAGAGTCAAACCTTTAAAGGGACCGACAATGAGTATGGAGGGGCCTCCTGGGGCAGGTGGAGGGGAGTCTGCCAGAAGAGGCTGGACACCAGAGAGGGCGGGGAACTGTGCAGTCATTGCTGAGCCCTGGAACTGGTCCTCCGTCCTGCATCCCACCCACCTGCCCACCCCACCAGGCCGTGACCCGCCCCACGCTGCCCGACCCGCACCTCTCGCACCCGCAGCCCCCCAAATGCTTGGAGCCACCATCTCACCCCGAGGAGCCCAGTGATCTGGAGGAGCTAGAGCAGTTCGCCCGCACCTTCAAGCAACGCCGCATCAAGCTGGGCTTCACGCAGGTCTGGGACCACTTGGCTGGCGGGCGGGAGAAGGACGCAGCCGGGTTGGGGTGGGGGCGGGGCGAGTGGATAGTGAGGGCGTGGCCTGATGGGGCGTGGCCTGTGACCCTTGCCAGAAGGCCCCGCCCTGATCTCATCCCATCCCCGCCCCTCTGACCCAGGGTGACGTGGGCCTGGCCATGGGCAAGCTCTACGGCAATGACTTCAGCCAGACAACCATTTCACGCTTCGAGGCCCTCAACCTGAGCTTTAAGAACATGTGCAAACTCAAGCCCCTCCTGGAGAAGTGGCTCAACGACGCAGGTGGGATTAGGCTGGGGCTCCCGCGCGGGGGTGGGCTGCTGGTTGCGGCCGGGGTGGCGCGGTCTCATGCGCTGTCTCTTCCCGGACACAGAGACTATGTCTGTGGACTCAAGCCTGCCCAGCCCCAACCAGCTGAGCAGTCCCAGCCTGGGTTTCGACGGGCTGCCCGGCCGGAGACGCAAGAAGAGGACCAGCATCGAAACAAATGTCCGCTTCGCCTTAGAAAAGAGTTTTCTAGCGGTGAGGCGCGCACCCTGCTGGTGGCCCTGAGGGTGGGGGGCGGATGGGCCAGTGCTGATGACCCCTCTGCCCTGCAGAACCAGAAGCCTACCTCAGAGGAGATCTTGCTGATCGCCGAGCAGCTGCACATGGAGAAAGAAGTGATCCGCGTCTGGTTCTGCAACCGGCGCCAGAAAGAGAAACGCATCAACCCCTGCAGCGCAGCCCCCATGCTGCCCAGCCCCGGGAAGCCGGCCAGCTACAGCCCCCATATGGTACCAAGAGCCCTCAGCCTGGGCGGGAAGGCACAAAACTCCCCAGTCACCCGTGTGAAGCACACCCTACCCAGTTGTCCCTGAGCCTAGAACAGAGGCAGGGAATCACTCTTGGAGACAGCCTGTCACATATATGGAGCAGTCACACAGGGAGACATAATTTCCAGGGAACTGTGGTCTGATTTGGGGGATACAAGCACCCACAGATTCACACTGACACAGCCATAGAGTTATCAGAGCGACAGAGCCACACAGGGATGGATACATATGTCAAGGGACATGGTCCATGTAGGGACATAGGCTCACAACCACATGGAGACAGGAAGAGGTGCTTATTTACTCTGCAGAGACATTGTCACACCCACAGGTGTACTCTTAGGTCCACAGCTGCACACAGGCTTAGTATCAGACACAACTGGGACAGCTTTTATTCCATCCCTTTATTTCCATTTGTGGAAAGGGTGGTGACATTACAGACAGGAGCCTCTGCCTCCAATGGTGTGGACGGAGGAGGAGGGACTGTTTGGGCTGAGTCATAAAGGATGAGAGAGTGTTAGCCAGCCACGTGAAGCAGAGGAGAAAGGCCTCCAGGCAAAGGGACTAATGTACATAAAGGCCTAGAAGCCTGAGTGTCCCCAACCTGATGTGAGGAACTCCAGTGCAATTTAGTGTGGCTGGAGCTGCAATGTATATGAGTGAAAGTGAGGGTAGGGAGCAGGCAGGAGGCAGACACCCCAAGTTTCAAGATGAGGAGCTTGAACTTGAACTATGGACAGTGAGGAGCTAAGGAGGAATTTTGAGCTGGAGAAGGTTAGGGCTAAATTTAGTGAGGCTTTGGGAGCTGATACAAAGGGGAAACTGGAGGCAGGGAGGCCGAGCAGGAAGCTGGTAAATGGTACCAGAAGGTCAAGTAATGTGACATCCCAGCACTCTGACACAAAGATCCGTGTCCCTTTAGCCTCATAAATCCCCCTTTAACCACTCCCCCAACACATACTTTAGACTTGCTCCTTCCTTGCCTGAGTCACTTTGAACAGTTTCTCCTGCATTGCTTGCCAACTCCACTCTTAAAAGGTCAGTAAAAGGACAGGATTTTTAGTTCACAGAACCAACACTAGCAGGCACATGAAGAGCACTAACACAGTTGTTCAGATGCACCGTTGTTTCAGACAGGATGCAGCACTGCTGAGAGCAGCCTGCTTCGTCGTCTCAGAGAGAGATGGGGAGCTCTCTCATTTGGCTTGTTGTTGTTGTTGTTGTTTGGCTGGGGCCGGGTTTGAACCTACCACCTCTGGCATATGGGGCCAGGGCCCTACTCCTTTGAGCCACAGGCACCACCCACTCTCATTTGGTGTTATTCCTTCCTGCTTGTGGCTCAGATAACCTAGGGTAAATGTGAAGAAAGCCCATGGAATAACATAAATGCAGCATTGTGACTGGGCATGGTGGCTGCACTCTGGGGGCTGAGGCTAGAGGATGATTTGGAGTTGGAGACCAGCCTAAGCAAGAGTAAGACCGCATCTCTACTAAAAATAGAAAAACTAGCAAATAAGCAACAGAAAAACTAGAAAATTGTGGTAGGTGCCTGTAATCCCAACTAATTGGGATGTTAAGGTAAGAGGATCACTTGAGCCTAAGAGTTTGAGGTTGCTATGAGCTATGAGGCCACAGCACTTTACCCAGGGTGACAGAGTAAGACTCTGTCTCAAAAACAACAACAAAACCTATCCAAACAAAAAAATCCAAATGCAGCATTGTACTCAAAGCCCCTCTTTTCTTCAACCTGGGGTAAAAGAGTGGGGGTTATACCCACAGGGAGCATCATGGGGCTGCTGGGAGATAGTGGCCTAACCATACCTTCTTTCTTCTCTCTCTAGGTCACACCCCAAGGGGGCGCGGGGACCTTACCATTGTCCCAAGCTTCCAGCAGTCTGAGCACAACAGGTCAGGGAGGGCAGAAGATGGTGAGGGGATACTGGGAGGATGCATCACAGGCTGGAGCCTGAGGTCTCAAGTGGCTCTTGGCATCCATGGGCCTCAAGGCTGGGTCTGAGAGAGTGAGGAATATGGGAAGGATAGGAGGAAGGGATGGGGGAGAGGGAGGCCCCATCCCTCTTGGCTTTTATTTGTTCCACAACTTCATGAGAAAAACGGGGTTGGTAAAAGGTGAGACCCTTGGGTTTGGGGCCTGGCCTCTGTCATTTATGAACTGTGTGAATTTCAGAAGTTAAGGCTGGATGAGGTGGCTGGTGCCTATAATCTCAGCACTTTGGGAAACTGAAGTGAGAATTTGAGACCAGCCTAAACATCACACTGACACCCAATCTCTACAAAAAAGTAAAAAATGTAGCATGGTGTGGTGGCATGCACCTATCATTCTGGCTACTCAGGAGACTAAGACAGGAGAAATGCTTGAGCCAAGGAATTTGAAGTTACAGTGAACTATAATTGTGCCACTGCTCTCTAGCCAAGGCAACAGAACAAGACCCCATCTCAAAAAAAAAAAAAAAAAAAAGAAAAGTTGCTTTATCTCCCTAAGCTTCCATTTTTATAAAATTATTGTAAATGTGCTAAGAACAGTGGCTCATGCCTGTAATCCTAGCACTCTGGGAGGCCAAGGTGGGTGGATTGCCTGAGCTCAGGAGTTCGAGACCAGCCTGAGCAAGAGCTAGACCCCATCTCTAAAAATAACTGAGTGTTATGGCGGGTGCTTGTAGTCCCAGCTACTTGGGAGGGTGAGGCAAAAGAATCACTTGAGCCTAAGAGTTTGAGGTTGCTGTGAGTTATAATGCCACAGCACTCTAGTAAGGGAGGCAAAGTGAGACTCTGTCTAAAAAAAAAAAAAATTGGCTCAGTACCTGTGGCTCAAGTGCCTAAGGTGCCAGCCACAAACACCTGAGCTGGCAGGTTCGAATCCAGCCCGGGCCTGCCAAACAATAATGATGGCTACAACCAAAACATAGCTGGGCGGGGCAGCGCCTGTGGCTCAGTGAGTAGGGCGCTGGCCCCATATACCGAGGGTGGTGGGTTTGAACCCGGTCTCAGCCAAACTGTAACAAAAAAATAGCCAGGTGTTGTGGCGGGCGCCTGTAGTCCCAGCTACTTGGGAGGCTGAGGCAAGAAAATCGCCTAAGTCCAAGAGCTGGAGGTTGCTGTGAGCTGTGATGCCACGGCACTCTACCAAGGGCAACAGAGTGAGACTCTATCTCTAAAAAAAAAAAAAAATAGCCGGGCGTTGTGGCAGGTGCCTATAGTCCCAGCTACTTGGGAGATGGAGGCAGGAGAATCTCTTGAACCCAGGAGTTGGAGGTGGCTGTAAGCTGTGATGTCATGGCACTCTACCCAGGGCAACAGTTTGAGGCTGTCTCAAAAAAAAATTATTTTGAATGGATAATTCACACAGAAGATATATGCATAAACATATACATATAAGAATGTATGTATATATGTGTACTCTTGTACCCAAAGTCCCCCTTTTCCTCTTACTGGGACTGGGGATATTTAACACCATATATATGAGAGTAATATAAAAGAATAACATTAAACACCTATTTTGCTGCTCTCCAGGTTAAGAAATAATAATTGGAGATTTATAAAGTACTAAGGGCATACCTGGCACTGTTCTAAGCTCTTTTTTTTTTTTTTTGAGACAGAGTCTCACTTTGTTGCTTTTGGTAGAGTCTCACAACAACCTCAAACTCTTGGGCTTAAGCGATCCTCTTGCCTCAGCCTCCCAAGTAGCTGGGACTACAGGTGCCTGCCACAATGCCCGGCTATTTTTTTTGTTGCAGTTGTCATTGTTGTTTAGCAGGCCCAGGCCTGGTTCAAACCTGCCAGCCTTAGTGTATGCAGCAGACGCTGTAACCACTGAGCTACAGGCACCAAGCCTGTTCTAAGCTCCTTATAAGCCTGGTTGGTGGCACGAGCCTGTAATGTCAGCTAATTAGGAGGCTGAGTAGGAAGATGCTTGAGCCCAGGAGTTGGAGGCTGCAGGGAGCTATGAAGGTATCTGTGAATAGCCATTGCACTGTGTCCTGGGTCACAGTGAGACCCTGTCTCTTAAAAAACAAAAAGTATATTGACTGATTTAGTTCCACACCCCTTTTATGAGATAGGTTCTATTATTAGCCCCATTTTCCAGATCAGAGATCTGAAGGTCAAAGGGGTTAAAGCACTCGACCACGGGCACAGGAGCTTCTACCCCAGCAGTCTGGGCTCCTAGTGTGCCCATTGTCAACCTTGCACCTTATGCCCTGCTCACCGGCCTCTAGAGGGAGCCATAGGGCTTTGTTTCCTGGGTGCCCGGTTTCTTGCCTGTGTGAAAGTGGTACAGGGTGGGACTCGCATAGTACCAGCAAATCCGGCACAGGGCACAGGTTCAGTAGGTGACAGCTGCTCTTACTTTGATTATTGTGATTGCTGTCACTATGGCAGAGGCACAAAGAAATGGCTCTGGGAAGAGAGGGCAGGGAGGTCTAGATCTGTTCTGACTGGAAATCCTATGTGAGCTGGGTTGGGAAGAGAAACAGTTGACCCTGAGTTCCTTGGTGGGGGAATGAGTGGAAGCTGAAGATCCCATCTCTCTGTCTCTCTCTGGCAGTTACTACCTTATCCTCAGCTGTGGGGACGCTCCACCCCAGCCGGACAGCTGGAGGGGGTGGGGGTGGGGGCGGGGCTGTGCCCCCCCTCAATTCCATCCCCTCTGTCACTCCCCCACCCCCGGCCACCACCAACAGCACAAATCCCAGCCCTCAAGGCAGCCACTCGGCTATCGGCTTGTCAGGCCTGAACCCCAGCACGGGGTAAGTGTGTGCAGGCGGGGAGGCTATGGGGAATAACAGTAGGGTTGCTTCTGCTTCCAGGGTGGGGAACTGTACCCCAGTTTGGCTGGCGAGTCTCTGCCCCTGCTAATGCCTCTGCTTTGCCTCTTGCAGAAGCACAATGGTGGGGTTGAGCTCCGGGCTGAGTCCAGCCCTCATGAGCAACAACCCTTTGGCCACTATCCAAGGTGCGTGCTGCCTCATGCCACTCCCATCGTCACCAGCCCTGCCCCTTGGGGCCTTGAGCTCCCCCCCATTGCTGCTCCAGCCATGCCATCCTGCCCTTGCTCACTGCATCGCTCACCTCTTCATACCCATCTCGCCTTTGGGGAAGGTGTGAGGGGTGCTAATGGGGGTTATTGGGACAGATGGGAAGATGTGGGGCATTCTGGGCAGCATACTGGAAGGTGAAGGTCTCCCCTGGCCCGGCGTGCCCCCAGCCCAGCCTCTCTTTCTCCCCACCAGCCCTGGCCTCTGGTGGAACCCTGCCCCTTACCAGCCTTGATGGCAGCGGGAACCTGGTGCTGGGGGCAGCTGGCACGGCCCCAGGGAGCCCTGGCCTGGTGACTTCGCCACTCTTCTTGAACCACGCCGGGTTGCCCCTACTCAGTGCCCCACCTGGAGTGGGTCTGGTCTCTGCAGCGGCTGCAGCCGTGGCAGCCTCCATCTCCAGCAAGTCTCCTGGCCTCTCCTCATCCTCTTCATCCTCCTCTTCCTCCTCTTCCTCCTCCACTTGCAGTGAGGCAGCAGCACAGACCCCTGGAGGCTCAGGAGGACCCGAGGCAGGGTCCAAGCCTGAGTGAGGGCCTGCCATGCCTCTCCTCCCACTTCTCTGACCCCCACTTAGCTCCCTCGCCTGGGAAGAAGGCAAGGAGGCTAGTGGTGGGGATGCAGAGTATCCTCGGAGCAGGAGTGACAAGGGAGGAAAGATCAAAAAACAGAAACAACCCAACCAACCAAAAAAAAAAAAAAAAGTAAAGAAACCAACAAAAAAGAAAACCAAAAATAATCACAACAGAAACCAGCTGCCCCAAAGGAACCAGAGGTGAAAACAAAGAAAACCAAAAACAAACCAAAAACCCCCTACAAAATCAAACAAACCAAAAACCAGTTGCGAGCCAGACCTCAGTGTGCTCACCCTCACTGCTACGACACCAAATACTAACCCCAGCCAGGGGTGGAGGAGTCTCCAGTAGGTCGGACCTCACGCCATGAACCCTGGCTGTGGGGCAAACCCCAAACCCTGCCTCCCCCAGTGGGGGCTAGAGAAGGAAAAAAAAATATGCCAGCCTCCTGGCTCCAGCCCCCAGCCCTGGGCCAGCGAAGACAGGGCACAGCCTAGGGAAGATGGGCTGGGGCTCAGAACCACCTGCCAAATGTTCTTTTCCAGAAGGTGAAAGAGAAAGGGCCTGAACAACTTTACACCAAATATTCAGTAGCTTCATCCAAAGGATGTACAGAATTTTTAGCGTTATGCTCAACAGAATGTGTCCCTACCATGTGTTCCCCCTCTCCCTGGCCCCCTACCTCTCCCCATCTGGGCAGGGGGTCTCGCTTTAACCTCCTCCCTCCTCCCAGCCAGGGGAGAGTTCAGGGGGAGGCCTGGGGATGACTTTTCATCCCCTGTTTCTCCCCCTCTTCTCCCTCAAAGGGTGGGCTAGGCCATTTTGCCAAGTTGTAGCTCTCATGAGTCCTTCTTCACCCTCCTCTGCTCTAGAATCTACCCCCTCCTCAGCCCATGGAAATGTGGGAGTTTCAGGCAAGAGGGATGAGGTGAGGGCATTCAAGTTGTCTTTTTTTTCCATCTTGTCTGTCAGTTTCCCTGAAAAAAAAAATCATATTCCAGTGCCTATCCGTGGGATCCTTCACGTTCTTTGACATTAACCAGAAACCAAAAAGAGAACTCACCTCACTCTTCCCACCCTGTGCCCCCCCCCGATACTGCTGAATGCCTCCACCCCACATGCACATACACTCACGCACCCCAGTGGTGGGGGTTCTCAAGATGGTGTCCCCATCAGGGTTCCTGTGGCAGGGACAGTGCCATGACCTGTATTCCCCATCTGAGAGGGCACAGTGGTGGCGACCTCTCCCACGAGACCTCCACAAGTCTTGGCTGGACCTGTGTGTGCCCAGCCCTGGATTCGTCTCAGCGGTGGACAGAGGAGAGACGCCCTTGGGAGCCGCCTCATCCTTCTGCTATTGCAGAGGCCAACGAAGTTTTGAACCAAAAAACAAAACCAGAAAACCAAACAAACAATAAATTTAAACTAGAAAAAGAAAGAATTTATAGATATATATATATATATATATATATAAAGGGAAAGAAGACGAGGACTCTTCAAGAATAAGAAGGAGCCGCAAGGTGGAGCCAAGCCCCTGCGCCAGTGGTCCAGGCCCTTGGTCCCCAAGGTGGATGGAAGGATGGATGCTTCTTTCTCTTCAAAAATACCTCATGGACGTGGTCTTCGGGAAAGCCGGAGGGAGGCGGCTGGGGCAGGGCCTGTCCCTCAGCCAGGGCTGATGGAAGCGGGTGGGCGGGGCTGAGTGAGAGTGTCAGGGACAGGGGTGAAAAACCCCAAATTCCCCGCCCGCCCCCCCAATCAACTGAAAAAGCTTTAAAAAAAAAAAAAAAGACAGGAAGAAGAAAGGAGTAAGAGCAAAAAGAATGGACAAAGGAAAACTAACAACTTTTGGGTGGTTTGATTCTTCCTTTGATTTCTTTTTCTGTTCTCTTCTTTCCTGTCTCCCACTTCTTTCTCTCCTTTCTCTCTCTCTTCCCTTGTCTGTTGCTTTCCTCTCATCTCTCTCAATCTCATTCTTTCTGTGTCTCTCCTCAAACCAAAGTATTGCTGTGAAGGACGCGAGCCATTGAAATCTGAGTGGAGCCCAGTGGCTGCACTGGGCAGGAGCAGAGGGAGGGGGCCAGGTGGCTTCCACTTTCTGCTGGACACTCTGGGGAGAGCAAGACGGAGCCCCAGGCCTCAGCGTTCTCTTTTTTTCTTGTCTCCCTTCTCCCACCCGGGAAATGAAACTGTTGGGCTGGGCCATGGAGGCAGCAGAGACTCAGCTGTTGCAGGGACCTCCAGGTGCCTTCTCTGAGCAGCGGTGGAGTAGCCACCCCCCTGACCTCTGGCACCCATGGGGCCTGGCACCAGCTCGGCCCATCCTCGCCGGAATGTAAGCATCTCCGCCGAACCGAATCCCTGCCCTTACCCTACCTCTGAGTTTGTCCATGTTAATTTCCTGAAGAGAGAAGGGATTGGCAAGAGGGCCTGGGCCCCAGCCCAAGGGCGGAGAGGGAGCCAAAGGCTCCCAACCAGATAGGAAGGACATTTGAGCAGAGCAAAATGAAAGGAATTACAACCAAAAACCCCTCCGAGAAGACAGGCAGCATGGAAGGCATGGTGGAGATGACTCAAACAAAAACTATGATTCTAGACCAAAAAAAAGAAAAAAAGAAAAAAAAAAAAGAAAGAAAAGGAAAAAAAAAAAGAAAAAAAGAAAAAAAATCCAGGACTCACCACCACCCACTTCATCCTGCTTTCTCCCCATCAAGTCCCACCACCTGGGACCTCTCCCCACCCCAGTGTGGGGGAGTGGGGCAAAGAAAAGAGGAGGAAGCAGGGGGCAGGGAAGGGGCAGATGCCCTGACATTGGTGGAGGGACCCCCCCATGCAGCAGGGGGTGCTGGGGACCCTCCCCATCCAACCCCACAACTGGGAAAAGTAAAGCAAGAAAAAAGAAAATTCCTGGGAGCGGGGAAAATAACCAAATCCCAAGCTTTAACTACAGCTGTGAAACCAAATATTGGGAAGGGGGTGGGAGGGAGGGAGGGGCAGGTGAGCCCCAGTTCTCCCCTCTGGGCCCCTCTCCCCCGAGGACTCGAGATAAGGCACCAAATACCTCATAGAACTTTAATGTTAAAAAAAGGAAACCAAATATCGTTGGCTGGGGGCCAGCCAGGGCAAGGGGCTCGGGGGCTGGAGGGAGCCAGGGTTGGGATGGTGATGGGGGAATTCATAGCCCCCACCTCCCTCTGCCCCTTCCACTCCGGTCTCCTGTCTCGACTCCGGGAAACAAAACTATCTCATCGTTTTTATTTTGTGGTCTGTACAGCGCCTGTGTCCGTGTGTCTGTGTGTGAGCGAGAGTTGCAGGGCTGGGGAGCTTTCTGTAAGGGATAGAAGGGAAGCCCTAGGCCAGGCCCTAGGCTAGGTGAGGTGTCCTGAGGTGGGGAGCCAGGGGCCTGGGCTAGAAAGAGAGGAGAGATGAGTGGATTGGAGCAAGGGGGAGCCCTCTGAATTTCTCTTCTCCCCAACCCTGACCTCCTGCTTAAGGGAGGGACAGAGACTAGGTCTACCCTAATGGTGGGCCTTTTAATTGTGCCAAAAAAAAAAAAAATGATGCCAGTAACTAAACCACCTCTCTCTGTTCTCTTTTGGGGGGTGGAGTAGGGATGTGTGGGGGTGGGTGGGTAGGGATAGCGGAACCCAAGCCCTTGTAGGAGATGGGGATAAGATCAGGAGGAGGGGGAAGGATATGAGTTTTCCACCCATCTCCTCCCTGGGGAAGGCCAAGAGAGGGTCTTCAAGCCCTGGGGAGATAGGGTGATGGACTAAATAAGTCAGGGGTGACCTCTTGACCTGACTAGTTTTTCTCACCTACCCAAATCCCAGGGTGCCCCTCTCTTCCTCTAGCCCAGGGTAGGGGAACTGAGTGAGAGAGAGAATGATACAGACTGAGCAAGATTGAGACACGCGGGCCCCCACTGGTCTCTGAGTGGGAAGGCAAGTGCGAGAGATAAAGGCCTCCAAGAGAAAAAAGAAACAAACCAAAGATTTAACCATTTAAAAAAAAAAACCCACAGACAACTCCGCTACCTTTTTATATGTTGGGAAAAAAAGTGAAAAAAATTTAAAAATAAAAATTAAAAAAAAATACACAAAAACTCCAAGCCGCAGGTCCTTCATGCGGTTTGAACTTTGACCTCAGCAGTCTCCAAAGCAAGACGACGATGATGAAGGTGGAAAAAAAAAGAAAAAATAATGTATATTTTTAAGTATTTGTCCTTGAGATGTTAGCTCATTGTTAAACAAACAAACAAAAAAAAAAAAAAAAGGAGAGAAAAATCCAGAGAAGTGTTGCTGGGATGGAGACAACTATTTACTATGTCTGTGACCCCTCCCCTCTGCCTCTCTTCCCTCTCTCCTCTTTCCTTTCCTCTAACCTGCCCCTCCCTAACCTGTTCCCCTAGCCCAGGGGCTCAGTATTTATTTATTTATATAATTGCAGGGTGACTGGGGGCCTCTAGACAATTCGTAGATGGCCTTTGGATCATGGTGGGGTAGAGAAAGGGCAGGGAATCTTTGGGAAAAGCTAGGGCCTAATCTTTGATCAACTCCTTCTGGCCTGTCTTGACCCACTGCTGCCACCATTACCTCCCAAATATAGGGCTGCACTAGGGCAAGGTGACCACCCTACATTGGAAAGATCTGCTTGGCTTGGTCTTTTCCAGTGTGGGGTACTTTACCTACTCACTTGAAGGACCAGGTTGGAATGAGGGTGAAGGGATTCAGAGTGGGTGGCAAATAGTAGGCAGTGGAGACAAAAAAGTGGCAAAAAGGTAGGCCTCAGAGTAGACCTGCTTTTCCTCTATTCTCATGAAATTAGCTCCTTTCTCAGTTCTGACCCCTGTGTTGGTAGTCCCTTCCTTCCCATCCTATACCCCCTCCCTGTCTCTTCTCGTGGTAGCGGGTTAGTGTTTCAGTGTTCTTAACTCCAATCTGCTTGTTCATTGTACAATGTGCTTCTTTTAAGGCCCCATTTTTGTAACGAGTGTGTCATTCATCTGAACAACAAACATCAAAAAATAAAAAATTAAAAACTGTATAGAGAAATGATGCCTGTTCTCCCTTGGTCTCCTGACTTTCTGTATGGGGAAGTGTGGTGAGGAAATCAGGGAATGGTGTTGG